TGAAGCATCAGTGGCAACACTGATGTTGCTGTCCTTGATGATGTGATGGATGGCTCCTTGGTTCTAGGGGTCACCTTGTAGGTTCACGTTTTCTTGTAATAAAAAGCTCTACCGAGTGCCCAAATGCTAGTACTTACTGTTGCTGTCCTTGATGATGATGATGATGGCTCCTTGGTTCTAGGGGTCACCTTGTAGGTTCACGTTTTCTTGTAATAAAAAGCTCTACCGAGTGCCCAAATGCTGATCAGTACTTACTCTTTTTCGAAATGCATTCCATTTCCTGTTGTCAGCTACCTTAGCAATAGAAGGACACCAACACCTGCCGTTGAAAGCACCCTCATCTTCAATTGTTTACACTCCTTGGTCTTATTACGGTGGTGACCTCTCGACTTCCCCTGTCTGGGCTTGGAGAACCTGACAGTATCCCATCCCTCGTGCTTCCTTCGCTGTTTAGTTTTGTCCTCGCTTGCGAGGGCAGTACTTTTGAGTCTTTGGTCTGCACAGTTTGCATCCTACTTTGGACGAATTCAGACTGGATTTTTTGCTCTTTAGTATTTTCTCTGCGTTGGACTTTTCTGAGGCCTCACTGTGATGTCAGTTGGTAAGTATACAGACGAAACGGTTTCCAGTACTACTTGTTTGAGAGCGACGTGGGGGCGAAATGGTTCAAGTAGTTAGAGCGCGAATTTACTGACCGGAAGGTCCGTGGTTCAACCCCGACCTCTGCCTCTCGACTTCCCCTGTGTGGGCTTGGGCAACCTGACAATATCCCAGCTCTCGTGCTTCCTTCTGTTGGCATTGCAGTTTGGCACCGAAAGGGTGCTACAGCTGTATGATTTTTTTCAATCAGTCACGCTGATGGCTAGATCCGTTGAGCGCTTTCGAAAGACCTGTTATCAGTTTGTGGTATCATATTATTTCATATGATAAAACTATTTACATCAGCGCCGAAACAGAAACTAATTATTTGGCACCCGATCAGATGAACGACAATTATTGGTCGGGTGTAAAGTAGGTGACTGTAACTATCTAATGGAAGAAGCTGAAATGTTTTTGAGTAAAACTTGTTGGGTAAAAAAGGTGATAAGTGTACTGCGCAGTGATAGGCAGCTACAAAATAACGAAACCTATTGAATTTTAACCACAGGATGTTTTGGTCGCGATACAACCAACAGTCAATTTAACTTTTGTAAACTGCTACATCTCGAGTGTTTTCCATAGGCGGTTGACCGGTCTCTAACTGAGGAACGGTTTTCATTTAGAGGGGCCGAGTGGGTGCCTGACACTTGTGTTTACATTACACTGTTGACCTCCCCCATCAGAAATCCACTCAGAATGACTTTCCATAAATGTTTTCCGTTGTGATATTTCGCAATAAATAAAATCTTTGGGTATCAGCGATCAGATAGGCGGTCCGCTGATATCCGAAACGTGCGACCAGTTGGCGCAGCCCCTGTATGTCATCCATCTCTCGTGATTTCTAATTTCCGGAGACACTTTGACTTGCCCAGATTTTGCTAATCGGATGTTCCAACCGCACTCGAGAGGCGCTTCGTGTACGTCGTCTTTTGCGCGTAACGGCAGCGCTTTCATCAAAGGAATGCGGACCTGTCTGCCTCCAGTCTGATCCAGTCATAAAACTAAGACCTGTGGGCAGAATGCCCATTCACACAAAGTTTCAATTATCGCCCTCTACCGGCTGAACTAAATCAGTAAGACAGGACTGTCGAACAACCGAAATTCAACATTCTCATCAGTACTCAATATTCTTCTTGATGAAGAAACGTTCACCACCGTATATCGCTTTATCCGACAAGTTGTGACGTCAATTCCGAGAGTCACTGGTCAGGGACTTGACTATCCTGATGTCTGTATGATTTCCTGTAGTTTTTGTTCTCACTCAGAGTGCTTCGTGTTTTTTATTGATTGTTCTTCGCCCTGAGTGATAGTTCCTTGGTTGCTCTCAGTTTCCTGGACAAAACAGCCTCTCGTAATTTTTCAACTGATTGATGGCTATCTATGCCAACCTAGCAATACTCACTGCACATTGAATTCCACACATCTTGTCGGATATCAGATTGCCCTTTTCTCTCGTTGAAAATTGTTACCTTTCTGTATAACTTCTCCACAAAAGCCCTCCGCTGCTTAAAATGCTTTATTTATTTTCAGCTATCATCCTATCATTGTGGGTTCTTGGGCGCCTCCTACTTCAATACTTATGGTTAGATACCGATAACTACCCCCTGCCGGTCACCCACACTCCGTGCAATGCCGTACGACGTGACCTAGGAGTTAAGCCTACTGAACCTACTTATGCATTGGTACAGTAAAGCGTTCATGTTATCACACTATTGGATCTTCATCTATTATCTCTTGTTGTATCGTGGTTCATGTGCACACCAAATGATAGCCAGACTGCAGATAACTCATTCCGTCCCCATTTCGGGCACAAGTGACCCAAAGAACACTCGTCTGCTCTATCGTATTTTTGGACCCAACTCCACCGAGTACATCCTAGTGGCTGGTTTGAATCATATCTACCAATATGATGCCCACACTCTACGTTCACTTTCGGTGAGAACCACCGGACGAAAGAATTTTTCCATATTTTGCTCACCTAGTGGAGTTTGCGGACCATGTGACCACTCTGATCAGACTTTGTTTCGGATGGGATATAAACCAGGCGATTGTGGTCCCCGTGAAACCGACAGTGTGGTTAAAGCATGGGCCACTTCCACTGTCCCAGAATCCGAGGTGCCCAGAATTCCCGAATCCTACGTGTTTTATCAGCGTGGACCAGGAGAATCTGTTCTAATCAATGATGATCGCATTGCTTGCGAGAACGCACTCTACGTTTGTCATAATCTATACCACGGCTTTTGTGAGCGTCTGAGCTTGACCAATATAAGGGAGGCATCACCGTGGACACCATCTTTCACAAATCCATTCGAGCCGAGTCCCGAGGAGTCTGACAAAGTGCCAGTAACTGGAAGTGACCCGATAAAACATGTAGCCTTAGCTGTTGGGCTAAGGTACGTATATGTGGCCACTGAACCAGACAAACTTCCACAATATACATTGGTTAAAACCTATCCCATTTCAGTCAGATCACGAGATTTCCAGTTTGCCCATCGACAACCAGCGCCCGAATGTATTCTTCGTCTTACCGAAACAATCCCTGTGCCCATTCAATATAAACGGGCATTTCGATACCGAGCCCATCTGTCCACTGTGGGTAACAAACCACACTCTCTTCCACCCGCTCATATCTATTTTGTGTTTCAACAACCCGAAAGCCCCCAGTTCAATCGCTGGCAACCTCGGATATCTCGAGTTTGTGACAATGATATGCGATTTTTCTCTCACGTCGAGTTAAATTTGGCTTGCAAGGATTGTACTCCGGCATATTATACTCAGGAAGTAAGTGTAACTGAACTATCTTCACCTGTAGGTTAGCTGCTGATGTCTAACCGTCGGCGTATGATCAATGTGCTCATGGTCCAATCTCAGTTTTCTCATTTTCCATCGTTATCTCCGTTTATTTGCAGCCGCACTGTTAGCTTCTTCCGTGCGCCGTTTTTGGTTTATTAATGGTTATTCTTATTGGACATGACGTTTTCAGTCAAAGAAAACGTTATAGACGAAATTTCTCCCCCTAGCACTGGTTTTCTAGTCATCCACGGTAAATACCAGTTGGGATGTGTGCACTCCATTGACGGATTCAGCTCGGAACCGAATGTGGCAGCTATGCACCCTGTTTTCTACGTGGTGGTTACTAGTGTGTGCGGATTCATGCCCGCATGTTACAGTTATGAAAACACCTTTATTCTATTCAGGACTTGCGTGCAGCTTTATCCCGTTTATTCTGCATATTCTGTCATATTATTATCGCGAATCAACAGAGCCAAAAATACTGCGGATAATGACGAAGTATAAAGAACTAACTGAACGTCAGATAACGTTGTCACATTTGGCACAGCACATATTACTTGTCTTCTCAGGTGCGTAGCTGAATGAAAGCCTAAACAACCATCTATGTTCCATTTACTCAGGTCCGCTCCAACCCCCTAAACAAAAAAGCTGGTGGCTTATATCAAACAAAAAACGAAGCTGGCGCTTCTGCCTTTTCATTTTCTCTACTGTTGCTGTGTGAATGGAAAACTGGTGGTAGATGTCGACTTGGTCATCTTGGTCGGCGTAAATAACATCCGTGCCATTAACATAAAGAATTTTTGTCAACCTCATGGGTAATCGTCAGAAAAGATACCTCTGTATTTTGAATATCGTTCCAAATGAAACATGCGGTAGTCTTTGTGCAACATAGTTAGTCGAGGGATATTATGAAAGGTAGCTCCAGCGTAGATCTAGTTAGATCTCTCGTTAAACCGCCATATTTTGCAAATAACACTGGTCTTCACAAGTCGCCCCATCCTTTAAACCCCCGGACGTGTTTACAAACCAAGGTAAATAGCTGGAGTTAGCATACTCATTCCGTGCGGCCGCAACCAGTAAGAAGTGGGATTGTTCGTGCTTGCGAGTTGGAATCGCTGATTTCATGTTGGAAACTCAGCTTATGCGACCGAGTCACAAACGAAACCTCTTTACTGTGTACAAGTTGGCAGTAACGTGCTCTTTTCACGGAACTTGGCTCCAAGTACGGAAAGTTTACCATTTGTTTGGGTCCGCAATTCGGCGCTATTCGTTAGGATTTCATGTGAAAGTGGCCACAGCTTCAACTTGCGCACTCAAATGACTCTAGTCCCCTTGTTGTACACCGCACCTGTGCTTTTTAGCATTACTCCACTTCCATTGGATGTAGCTGAGTGGTTTCGGTGACAAATCCCAGCGTAAAATCATTCCAGCAACCCAGTCAACTGGCACAGAACCACCACAAATTAAAAAAGGGAGCCAAAAATGCGGTACTACTTCATGGTGTTGTCTGGTTGCCAGAGATTTAAATGGCATTTTCCAGCTTTTGCCCCGAAGCCTCTGTAAAACACCCTGCTGTACTTTCGTTTAGTGTGTTGGTGATATTTTGGCTGACATCTTACATCCCTGTTTCTGGACAGTCAGCAACTCACCTTTGAAACTATGGGTGGTTATATCTTCGTAAACTAGCTGGGTCCCAGTCGAGTGGAGATCAAGATTAAACTCCTGCTCTTTCACTCGACAGAATGGAAGTCGGTGTTGGATGATATGGGAGGCTGAAACAACCGTCTAGTTATGGCGATGATGGGCATGCGCAATGTCTAGGTGCACGTTTCGGCCTCAGTAACCATTCACTTCACCAGCTAAGATGATATTCCAAATTGGCACCACCCTACTGAAATTGATTCTATCTGTAAAGGTGTAATGCTTGGTTCCCGAATATGGTGTTTCTTCTGATCATCAGTAGCGATTCTGCAACTCCGTCGCTGACTTTAGGTGATAGGATATAAAAGGTGTTGAGCGTGGAAACATGAAAGCGCTTTGCGCTGCAGTATTACATCGCATTTCAGAATTCGGACCGCTTTGTACGTTTCTTAAAGGCGCCTGACGTTCACATTGATCACCTCTCTCTCTCACATTTGATGTACTCACACTTAGATAGGATGCAGATCACCTTACGAAATGAGGAAATCAGCATCATTTTCCAGTTATTAACATTCTGATGCCTACCTTGAAAGGATTACTATTGCTACCCGAATATGATATGTAAGCGGGTCTGTAACGGTCAAACGCGTCGTACCCTCGTTAGTATCACAACACATTTTGGCTCTGAGCCGATCACATACACTAGGTTGAAACCTTGTTCCCATTGTGCGGTACTTTCGTCCGAAACTGACTGTCTGCTCGTTCATTGCGGAAGCTGCCTCCCGTTAGAACTATGTTTCCAAACAAAGGAACGTCCGTAGTTTTTCGGTGGTGGGAGTCAGTGCTTATAGAACCATTCACATTCCGGTCCAAAAACATTTGGCAGTCGAATAAATACACACACATTTATGTGCATTGTGTGATTGGTGGTGCACTGCGGGCGTCTCAAATGCACTCATTAGTGATCGATTGGCGTTTGACTACGCCTCTTGCTCAGTCCATGGTGTGAGTTGAGTGTGTTTGTTATTGATCGAATTCTTGGTTAGTCAAGAAGTGGCCCGTATTTTAAATATTTCTGCTACTTGACATCCAGCTTAAAACTCAGTTTATGGTTTTGATGGATTCCTGTGGTGTCACGGAATAGCCAGTAATTATGACTGGAGTAAATGTGCTCCCCGCGCAATGCATGTCGTCCATTTATCACCATGTATGTGCAACCCTTGTATTCTAAAATAGCCCGGCTAACGAGCTGTTACAAAATGCAGGTTGCGTTGTTCATCATGCCTTATTTAGTCACAGAAGACATTCTAGTATGACGACTTTGCAAGAGCCATTTGTTTGGAAATCTCATTCATTGCCTTTGTGTGGCGATTTCTCTGTTCCATTTCCAGGATTTTGAGCAACGGACTCCTCTGTTAAAGCCTTTACCCACATTTTCAAACGTCAACGCTGGTTCATTCGCTTTAACTGGATAGTTTAATTGACTCCTTTCTGGGAAATGGGTAAAAAACTATAAATATTTACTGATGGATGGGCTTTCTTGAGTTAGGCACAAGAGTCTCACTTTTAGCAAGACAGGAAAATTAGCGAAATACACTCATTTGCAGAAAAATTTCGTTTTGCAAGGGAATCACCTGAAAACCAGCTAACTCTCTCGTTCATGATGTTTCATGTGAGTCTCTCGCAAAACTAAATTTGTTTGTCAATGAATGTATTTCGCTAATTTCGTGCAATTTGGTTTCAAGTAGAACATAAGGTCGACGGAAACTCGGGGACTGCGCCTACGTGATGAGTTCCAAGAAGGGCGAAACCGGTCGTGGGCTGTGCGAAAATTTTCAGCAACCTTATGAGTAGCGTATTACTTCAAGACATGAAAATTAACTCAAGATTGCTCCTTCAGTAATCTTTCAACGAATCCATCCTTGACTTCGATTTTTCGGAGCAATCCTCTACACTTACACTCCGTAGCCATCAGGGCAAGAAATACCACCGGGGGCAGTTTTGTCAGTGGAGGCAGAACGACTGGCTAAATGCCATTTTGGATCGTAAAAGCAGTAATTTGCGATTTTTCTGTTACTTTCGCCTTCTTCATTGAAACATGCGAAACACCATTTTTTGGTGGAGAGGGACATCTCATTTACGAGGGCGCTGTGGATACATTATACGGAGTAACTAAGTGTGGAAAAACCTGAAGAGTGGGACCCTGTCAATTGTTCGCTTCAGTTTTTATCGGTAGTTCATGATGTAAGACTGGTTAAATTGTCACCGTTACTATTTGGTTATAAAATGACAGGTCTGATTGACCTCGCCCCTCCGGTTTTTTTTCTAGGCCTGGTTTTGTGACAGCTATGAAGGATTTTATCCATTTGTTTCACTGGCCGATAGGAAAATGTAGACAAACAAAAGTGCAATACAAGTGAGAGGTCATTCATCCATTATGATGGAGAAGCAACTTCTTCGTAAAAAGAGCACTCGTCGTAAAACAATTCGGAACGCCAGAAATATTTCTTTCTTGGGTACTTTGTAAACAAGTTTGGGTTTCCCTGAGACGTCTCCAAACGCGTCGCTGTAGCGCATAACTCGGTTGTGAAGATGACTGGCGAAATAGCGATCACAGTTATTGGGTTCGGAGGAGAGAGACAGTTCCTGTTGCAGAATTGTTTACTGCTTTTCGACATAATTGAAAGGTCTATAATATTGGGACCTGCTCTATGGGATGACCCCAGATGAGCAGCAGGAAGCCTCGACGGTTTCATGCATCTCGAAAAAGCTATCAGTAATATTGAACTATTCCTGCAGCGTATTCCGAAGACAAGCCTGTGCACCTCAGATTAGTATTCTTCCTTGGACAAGCACAGTCTTGTTTGCTTTCGTTGTAGGCATAATTCTTGTCCACATCCAAGCGTATCTTCGCGTCTGCACTAAGTATACTTAACTCCCCGCGTTCAGCTTCTTTCCATTCTTCCTAGTTTATATCACCAGCGGTACTGTAGGCCTATTTACCTGTATCTTGTGTTCCAGAGAACTTATTGGGAGTTCTCCAGGTCTGCGGTTTTCGGTATTTCCAGTGCCACTTATTGGTTGGGACAGTCTACCTTACGCTCTCGCTGGTCGTAAATACACTATGCACTATGAGACTTTTTCTAACTCCTTAGTGCGTACGTTTTAGCAACGCTGAAAACAATACCAATTGTTGTCGACCATCGATCTGAGCAGTGGTGACTTTCCTTCGTAGTGCTACTGTCGCACGTATGCATTCATATAAGGAGCAGTTGGCAAACGACAGTGGCTGTGGCTCAGTTTCCCGGGTAGATGCACCCATCAAGTAAACGCTGGTCATCTGTAGCACGTTTATTCTTGTCCCGTGAGTTCCATGTTGTTAAATCCCTGAAAGACACGGTACCTGTCAAGCGGTAGAAAGTTGTCTGTGCAGGTTGGACCTTTCCGGCTGATTTGTTTACACGTAGAGGCACAGTCATTAGACTCCCTGTCCTCTCGTGCACACACTACAGTCGGGTAGCCATTGGCCCTTCCAAATACCTTTTTTTTTCAGGGGCTTCTGTAACCAGTTCTCAAGGTCTGAAATCTTTTGGGCATTGAAATGTGCACTTGTCAACATGATACGGTTGAAGAACATTCATAACAGATATGCAGTAGACTGAGGCCAGGTTTGAGCTACAAAGCGATCAGTAAGATATGTTTTCCAAACACCGGTAGTTATCCACAGGTTTGCGCAACGTTGTCATGTTGACAACCTCTTTCTACGCTTCTGGTTAACTTTTCTCACTTGAATTGTATCATGCTTAGCTTACAGTAAGACCGATTGTCTTTTTTTCGTACGTTTTCATTTGTGTTCGATTAACATACACGGTTACCGGTTTAACGTTTATTAGAACTATTAGAAGCTATTCAGGAATCTCATCATTTAGCGGATTACTTTCTGATCGAGGTAGCCTAGTGTCAAACTGGTTCCCAGACTGAAACAGTCACTTAGGCGTCCTCCCATACAGGGATCACTGTCCCAGAAAATCTGAGCTAGATACGTCTTAGTTTACACTTTCGTCAAGTTGAACCCCAATACACTTTTTCCCCGTGTTTGTCTCGGGTGTATCACTGTAGAAGGTGAACGACAACCTGCACTTTTACAGGCGAGATACTCGTGTGTTGGATTAATCTTCGCTGTTCCGAACAGAACTATCGTACTACAGTTATTTCGAATGTGCATGAAGGGAGCTCTCTTGGCTTAGTTCATATAACAAATCCTTCGGAACAGTTGATCGCTTTTGGATATTCAGGTATTTTCCTCCGAACTTCCATGTCCATCATGGAGGATGAGATAAACGTCAAGTAGTTAGCTTTCTCGCACCCACCACTAGTACTTCAACAGAGCACATTGCTCACCTCTTAGTACTGCTTTGGATATCCTTCGAATTATAAGGTTGCTGGAAATTCTTCGACAGCTCACGACCGGCTTTGTCCTTCTTGGGCTCATCAGGTAGGCACAGCCCCCGAGTTTCCATCAACCTTATGTTCTACTTCAAAGCAAATTGCATGAAATTAGCGAAATACACTCATTTGCAAACAAATATGGTTTTGCGAGAGATTCACCTGGAACCCAGCTGAATCTCTCGTTTGTGATATTTCCAGGCAACTGGACAAGCCATAACCAAGGTTTTGTTTGATAAACTTCACATATGGGTCTTAAGTTGCTGCATGTATCGTCCCTTGAAACCATGGTCCAATGTTTATCACAACGGCTAGATGAAGAATAGCTCCTGCAATGTGTTTGATGATAATTTTGGACAGCAACCGTCAGCATCCTTCACTGTGTGGAATGTACAGAGTTGTCGTATTTTCACCACACACTATTCCTCTAGACACCAACGTTAAAACTTGGCGATTCCGCTGATCCCGAGTTTCTGTTTGCCACAGGTATTCGTCAGTTGTACGATGACACTCTCACCGCACACGCAGTTAGCTGTTGTCGATACGCCTGTTGCAGCTTGAGGTTATCGTGCAAGCGATGCGTCATCCAGTCGAAGCCGTGCGAAATTCCCACACCACCTCGGACGCAACCGGTGTAGTTCTCCTGTTTGAAGGAGCTCGCAAGTTTAGCTGACACTTTCTATGGCTGCATAGCATAGTCTGGTGCTGGAGCGACCGATTCGACATTGGGTGGATGTTGGGCGTTGGTATACAGTTTAACTCGAAGCTCATGGTATGAAAGTAACAAAGCTGAAAAATACCCTATACTGAAAGTAACTCCCTTTGTCAATAACTTAGATCTTGAGTTGATCTTGGCAGTCTGTGTGGATATGCATTGAGAGCAGTTTGGTTCTGCTACTGAACATCCGCTCACAAAGTGTATGGGCCTCCTAGTTGTCCACAGTCAGACTGAGGAAATCTGCTACTCACGTTGATGCTTCTCGTGTTACGCTCCAGTTGTTCGCTTCTTGCACTTCGCTAGCTTATGATTCATAGAACTGCTGCCGATCGTCGACCTATCGGCTCATGTTTATGACGAACTGGCGGTTCTTTGGATTAGTATGCAACCATTTATTCAAACATCCGTCAGTTGGCTACCATATTGCGTTTAATCCGTTTCTCTTCGGTTGTAATCTAAACCTTTTAGTCATGTGTTTTTTATCTACGCGGAAACGGTTGTACAGTAGCAGCAAATTTAAAACAGGAGTTTACATCATAATGCATTGCCTACTCAAGTGACCGGTTTGGATTGGTTTTAGAGCAGATAGAGGATTGATTTACATGCATAGTTTACCGTTAGTCATCAAACAGACAAGAGCGTTTTGGGTTAGAACCGCAGTCTGACGTTGGTATTTGTTGTTTCTGCTCACTGGGGCTTGTCCAGAATGCTCGTTCCGCTTGAAACACTGATGGCAACGCGTTCAAATTTAGTGATTCGTCAAGGTTAGACCGCGGAAGGGTTACATAGAGTTGGTCAATAAAAATCCGATAAGAGTTCAGCTTGTCTCTCATCCGTCAATTCCTTTGTAGTTTGTGTTTTTGTGTAATGACAATCTATCGTACTGCGTCACATTCACAAACCCCACACTCCCCGGTTCCGTCTCCAACAGCCTGTGTTCTTACTTGAAAACACGCAGCATTCTTTTGAACAACAATACTTGCTTGCAGTCAGCACGTAGTGTCCACGGCTAGAAAACCTTTCCTATACAAATCCTTGCTTTCCATGTACTGGAAGTAAACTTATATTCAATCGACTGTTTTATTGATGACAACGACCATCTACCTTAGCTCATTTAGAAGATAGGAGATTAAAAAACGATCGCTTCAGTTAATATGAGTAGTGGAAATACTTTCCTTTGTTCGATGTCACACGGACAGATAAATGTACCGGGCAGTAAAACAGGAGCATGTGGTTGTCTGACGGGCTCTGCTCGAAGTTCGCTTGATATTGCTAAGTGATGTTTGTGCCAGCTCTATTACAACGTCAGTTGCAATCGACTGACCGT